GTTGATCAATGTTTTACATGTGGTGGATTTGTTTTCTGGATTTAATTATTGTGTTCATTCCTTTGGATAGTTTGTTTCATAGTAAAAACTATTACAGTCACATTAATTTTAGACAAACTGACGTATCGTATATTTTATATACACAAGTCACATCACTTCCACCTGGTGTTCAGCTTTCCTGAAAGAGCAGCTGACGCTTCACACCAACTACTACAGATGCTACAGGGAAAACAGACAGTGGCTCGCTATACAGTACAATTCTGGACCTTGCCCATGGAGAGTGGATGGGGGGAGGAGGCCCATGCTGTTTTGTTTTCTACTGGACTATCTGAACATTTTAAGGACAAATTGGCATGCCCTGATTTACCTTAGGACCTAGAAGCCCTTGTTGAACTGGCTTCACATCTGGATGCATGCATTCTAGAATGGTTGCAGGAGTGGTGTCAGCAGGATACACCTAGAGCTTCTGCAGTTCCTCATGCAGGGCCTGATCCTGTTCTGGTTGGCTGGACACTTTCACCACATTCCAAAAAGGAACCCATGCAGGTGGGCAGAGCCAGTTTTTCCCCCAGATGAGTGTCAAAGGTGCATCATTGGTGGGATCGCTATAGAAGGATGGCACACCTCAGCAATAAGTGCCCTGAGATCCGAGGAAAACACCCCAGTTCAGTAAAGAGTGGTGGCATTTCAGCTCCCCATTCCCTTCACCACTTCAGTCTACCTGTTTTTTTTTATCCCAGGTCTAATGCTATCCCCAGTGCTTTCCCCACAAACAACTTTATTGATTTAGGGCTTGAATGCTTGAAGATTCCTCTAGAGGCTTGGGATTGAGTGTGTAACCTGATATGGGCTTCCCAAGGACATAAGAGGTTAGTGGATTGCTGCAGATGATCCATACCTGCTTTTTCACTGGAGCCGAAGGTACCTACGTCTATGGGTTCCCTCTTTCAAGCTGGCTACCCATTTTACAGGTCCCTTCTGAGTAATGAAAAGGATTAATGTGGTCACTTACTGGCTGTATTTACTGACTCACCAGAAGACATCTTTTATTGAACTTCCATGTGCCACTCCTCAAGCCAGCCACTGGGTGCTCCATGTCACCATCTCACACGGGTTCATTGGCTCCCCTTCTCAGCAGTTTCCAGGAGCTGGTAACCCCAGTGAAACTTGGATTCTCGCCGGGTACAGGGTAGGGTGCAATGAGGGGACCAGTAGAGAGTTGTGGGCCAGAAGAAAGATCTTGGGTGCCTGCCCTAAGACTTCGGGACCCTCACCTTTGCCACACCTTCCATGCACGTCACCTAGGAAAGCCCTGTTCACACCCAAAGATCACCCTTTTATTTAACACTGTTTTAATTTGAAGGGTGTGTGTGGGGGAGGGGGTTCCAGGGAGAATCCCAAAGGAACACTTAAGGGCCTCTGCGGGCCTCTCTCACTGTGGCTAATGGAAGAAATGGAAGAGGATTATGGCTAGATAAAGAACAAAAAGAACATGTTTGCCCTTCTGAAATTCACCAAAGAGCAATTGGATGATCCACAAGACTACTGAAACAATGTTCCTTTAAATGTTTTGTGTGACAAAGAAACATGAACTGCCATCCAATAGAAGAACCTCATCTCCCCAAGCAAGGTGATGGGAAGTTGCCTTTCTGCCTCGGGACCTGGATGGCTTAACATTGTTGATGGGGCCATGAATTCAGTGTTGTAAAGTATCTGCAAATTCAGGAGAAGAATGTCAGACCACTCAAGCTGAAGCTGAGCTGAAAGAACGTTGTGTAGCAAGACAGTAGTCCTAAACATACAAACTACAATAAAATGGGTAAAGAAGAGAAACTTTGCTTTTTGGATTGTTAAAAGATGGATGGATAGAAGGCTATAGCACACCACAATGCAAAAGCTTTTAGTAAAGTTTGTCATAATGTATATCATTCCAATTACTTCTATAAACTTGTGTATTTTTGTGTGTGGTACAGCTATATTCAGTATTTTATGAAGCTAGTCTAAATGCAGTCATTATCTCAGGCAAATATGTTCTTAAATATCAAGTTGTACTCACCATGTGTGTGTTTTGGGGTCTTTTTTCAGATTTTGACAGGTCTGGTTGCTTAATGGTGTAGAAATTCTACTTATGTTATTGAATTGCAATTACATTGCTATGTCTTTGGGCAATGTTTGTTAACTTGACTCCACTGAGAGGCAAATGTAGTCTGGGGGTCAGTTCACTTTCAGTTTTTTTCTTGGTAGAACAATTCTTTAGCCTTTCTTAACTCTGTATCTTACATGGAGCTTAAAGTTTCTGAGCAGAAAAAAATATATGTTTTTGACTTTTACAAAATGAAAGGAATATTCTTGTTCAGCTTGAAATAACTTGGGGCATCTGTATAAGTCTTTGCTAACCTTTGCCCAGCATTTCCCTGGAATGAGGGATGGTGTTACAGTTTGTTTTTTGTTCAGTATGATCCTATCTTTTATGAAGTGATTTATGATAGATTTGTTTTTTGAAAACGAAAATGTCTGGAATGCATTAGATGATTGTGACGACAGGATTATCTCTGTTGGCAGTACACAGTACGTATTCTGTGTCGTTTCTTTGGGTCTGGACACATACTCTATTTTCACTTCCCATCTTTGCACATACAGTACAGCTACACAAATTTAAATATCCTGTTTCTGCAATGTGGTTTATCACTAAGTGCATTCAATATTTTTGAGAAACACAGTGTTTGCTACCTCTTCCACATTTTTTCAGTGAATTTTGTTTTGTCAAGTGCAAAACTTTTAATCAAAAAAAGATGTGCATTTTTTGCCTTGTGCTTACTTTACGTAAGGTTGAATTCTCTCCCCTCTGCCATCACTGGATCCTGGCCTATCCTGATATCATTTACATGGGGCTTTCTCATGGAGCAGAGGACAGCAGAGGCCTGGAGTGCTGCCACTGATACAGTGAAAGCCTTGTTGCATGAGGCTTCCTTTGTCACTATCTGATTTTATTTTAGGGATCCTTAATTAAACATTCTGAGGGAGGATGGATGGGGGGGGATGGATGGGGGGGGAGCATGGGAAATGGTATTTATTTCCTGTATTTTGTTACATCTGGAGGAGGGTATTTAAAAACAAGTAGAATTTTGGTCATGAAACAGGATGAAATAGGAAATTTCACTGCATGACGCAAAGGTTCTCTTTGATAGTGTGCTCTGGAGCAGGCATCCTGAGTAAAACATGCTAGCTATGGTGATATGTAACCAGCTTCCTTTTGGCTTAAATGTTTATGCTGAGAAGCCACTTATCTGCTTGGCTTCACACATCCAACAGAGCTAATTGAGCTTTTAAAAGCTCCTTTTTTTCCATAAGACCTCATTTGTTTTCAAATATTTCTTTCCTTCAAATGCAGCCGATTGTGTTTTCCAGATGTTTTACAGCCGTGAGTCTAAACCTGTGGGTGCTCATTTAAAATCCTGGATGCCTGCGTGGAAATGTCTTTTAGGTGAAAGAGCACAATAATGAGCCACTTTGAAAGACAAAAAGTAGGCTCAATATCATTACCAGGCAATACAGTGTACATGAATCTGTGATATTAGTAATGCTTTACTGACTTATGCACTGTAGTTTAACTCTGTTATTATCTTATACAGTATGTCCAAAATCATTTAACCTCATTGTGATGCCTGAAGTACTGTAGCCTGTATAACTTGTTCTCTAACATGAAATTTATTCATTGTACTCCTCTTGTATATTAAAGTATGGGAGTCTGACATAGGAACACTGCAATATTTTGTGAGTTTAAATCGTGATACTGTTTCTGTAATTTATTTAAAATGCAGCCTTAATGTAATATAAAATGCATGCAAATATTTGAAAAAACTGCAATTATTAAAAAAAGGTATTTCGTGCCATTTTATGTTATTGCCAGAATGTGTTAAATTTTGCATATATTTACAAAGTGGTGGTCTGTGTAGAGTGTAGGAATCCAAAACTTGAATATTAAAAATAACATTTACATTGTATCTTGTAAATGGTCATTGGGAGTTAAAATGTTTAAAGAAGATACTATTTTTTCTGATCAAAACAAATCCATATAAAGGTTTTCTTGATCTGGATTTCTGGATTGAGGTCTATTATGTTCCTGGTGTTGTGAAATTTGCTTTTGTGTTGAGTTAGTGGTAATGATTCTGTGATCTTTTGTCTGGGTTTTTATCAGTTCCTGCCCCGCATTCAAAGACATGTTGTGGAAAAAAACAGCTCTTTCTTGAAGAATGTCTTAAAGAAAGGTTTAAGTATTTTTCCATTGTGATACATGGCATTATTTAAAAGGATAGCAAAAAGCAAATGATTCAAAATCCACACCCTGAAGACTTCATAGGCCTAAAATATGTAAGCATATACTGTATGCTTACAAATTCAGTTATGTGCAATATTTCACCCTTCTTGACTGATACATGATAAAGATGTCAAAGCTTTTCAAAGGAAATAACTCATTCAAAAAATGCGTAGGATGGAGCTGAAAAGGCGATAGAATTAAGTTTCTAGTTTGTTAGAGCATGTCAGGGCAGAGAGCTCCTAATTAACTATGAAAAGGATTGCTAAATACGTGTGTGGGAAGAAAATTAGTTCAGCATAAATTAAGATATAAAAACAAATCTGTTTATTAAATGACTGAATTGATTAAGAAAATGCATTGCCTGTACTCTTTGGTAGAGCTCTCTTCAGGACAAACAGGGTAACCTTTACAGGAACCTGTAACTCCACACTGTTTTGGAAATGATTTAATTTTTGGATTTCAAGCCATTATTGTAAGTTATTACTTATAGGTAAGCGAAAGTGAGAAATCCCATAATCAGTAGGTATAGTTTGTAGTTTTGGAACATTACCTTGCATCTCTTGCCTCATAAAATGGATTAGCATCACTACAGTGTACTGTGACCTGTTTGTACAGGTTGACTTGTGCAGCTTTGTGGCAGTACATTATGTCACAATAACAGCTTCATTGTGTTTGTCTGTAGGGTACCTGACCAGAGCACTCAGGAATTACACAGAACAAGCCTGTGATGGCGAGTACTTTTCTGTGCAATGCCCTCCCAGGACTACGATAAGCATCCAGTCCTCGTTTTATGGAAGGAAGGTCCCAAATCACCAGATGTGCCCGCCACACCTCTCGCCTTCCAACACAAAGCTGTTCAAAGAGGATACAACGTGTTCTGTTTCAACTTCATTACGGGTAAGTACAAATGTTATTTTATTGGAAGGACATTAGAAGGTATAACCCCCCAGCTGACAGAATTGCTGTCCTGCTCCGCAGGGTTGTATGTTCAGATTCTGTTATTTATTGTTGTGGAATGATACAAGCATTGCAATATTTAAAAAAAAAACCAAGAGAAGTTGTGTTCTGGAAATGTATTTTACCTTTTGCACTGAAAATGTTACAATTCATCTGTGATCCTGTCATTATTCATCTTTTAATAGTGTCAACATTTACTTTTTTTAAATTTTGCTCTCAAGGTATGTTAGACCTGCATATTCTCCCACTGGATTTGACAGTGGGTTAGACACAATGCTGTGTACTGTTGTATCATGCTTTCTAATAGTAATAGATTTGTGTCTTTGATGGTTAGGATTTTTTAAGTAAGCCCCTTTTTAAGATTTTCCTCTTAGGCATCTCACAGCACTTAGCCTGCATAGCCCACATGAGCTGCAGACAATCCCACTGATCCGAAAGGGCAGTTCAGCTTGACACCCACTGGGAGTCCTGGGGATATCATTGTAGTAGCAGTCTTATATTTATTTTGAGGTGAACAGTAGTGTTTCAGCTTGAAAGTATAGATACACAGCATCAGGATCTGGTATACCTTCTTCCAACCACTTTCATACCTTTATGATGTAATTCTGGGGTGAGAGCAGCATCAAATGTGTAAGTGGTGTTTAGAGTTTTAATGAGGATGGTGATTCATGTCTTGATTTGAATGAATCGGAATTCAGCTTGAGAAGATGATCTTCATAAGCTGATGCAGCACTTTGAAATATTTTCCAGGCTCTTTGTCTGTCTAGGAACTATAATTTTCCTGTCACTGACAGTGGATAACAGAAATATTTGAGAAGCATTTTGAAAAATGGGCCTTTCGTTTTACAATTTTCAAAGTTGGATAGGTACTGTTAAGGCACATTCAGGTTTTCTTTCCCAAACAGAATGATAAGAGTGACCAAGTGTTGATTTGTTAGATAGAGGATGTTTGTCAGTTCATGGAGAGAAATCCTTTGTGTCTACTTCCTAGCATTTTATTGGATAAGATATGGTACTTTCCACTGTCAAGTTATTTTGATTTCGTTTTTTTGTAATGCTCGGTGAAGAGATAGTATTCTGTCGCCATACAGTAGTGCCTAGAGGAGAAAACAAGATCAAAGTCTTCATTCAGCATTTCAAAACATTCTCATATTTCAGGCTACTTTTACCTCAGTATTTTGGCTTCTTTGTTCAACATTATATCCCTCAGCACATACATCTATGCATCCTAGTTTAACAAGCCACGGTGAGGGACAGGTCACTGTATTACAAGGGGTCTCTACTCGTTTTTAATTTCAGAATCTTTTTGAGATGATCATAACAAAGTCAAAATGGCAAAGACAAGTCACGTCAGGGTTCCCCTGCAGATATAAATTATTGAGTAATATCAGCAATGAACATTTATGAACAGTACATTGCCTTTCATGCATCATCTCAAGATGCTATATAAGGATAAGCATTATCATCTTTTAAAAATCTTTTACTAGAGTGGATTTATGTGGTATTGCAGGAGTAAATAGGCAATGACTAGATCAGACAGATATATTTGCTAATCTTGTGCCTTTAACAATCTGCAAAAAGCCCTGCAGATTGGAGATGGTCGTAGTGTAGAATTAAAGACTTCATCAAGCAGGGGTTTTGTTAATTGGAAGGGAAGGCTTGACACGTTATGCTAGAGAACTCTTAATTCCACGTTCTTTCATTAAGATAAAACTGCGGCTTCTTTTAACGCAGCTTCTTTTAAAAAAAATCATTTCAATTGACGAAAAAAGATGAAAAGATGATCAAAAGATGAATACAAAAATGTCCCACAAGGAAAAACTGTGAAAGTGATTTAAAAAGCATGTATTTCACTCATCTCTTAGCAAGAACAAAGATTTTTTAAAATGTTGGCAAATTTAAGCAACCACGAATTTAGTTAATTGAATGATTTTTACAAATGCTCAGAAAAAATGGTTCAATTAAAATGTAATTATAGACCACATATGAGGTAGATATAACTACTGTTTAAAAGGTATAGTTTTTGTCATTTATCAGTTGCCAGATACCTTGAGGCCTAAGATTTACATGTCACCTATGATTGCTAATCCAGGGTTTAGAACATACCTTTGGGTCAAGTGTTAAAAACCTGCTAGTCATAGCTTTTCAAGAGAAAACATTGTTTAACACTACCTGTGTTACCATTGTGTAACACTTAGGAATGTACACCCTGGAGCAGTGTTTGGATAAATTGGAAGGTGTAGCTCTAACTTCTTTAATGTGCTCAGGAGAAATGTGCGGGGTACCCAGAAAGTAACAGGGCTGTTTGCTTCCATCAAATGCTTATGTTAAATGTTGAACTAATTGAAAAAAGGAGTTTTTAATGGGATTCAGCTGTGTTTGTGTGTGTATGGCGCGTCAGGTCCTTCACTCCTCTGAAAGGCATCGTTTCATGTGATGGATAATTAAAGTGTAGAGCATAACCAAGCCAAAGTCAACTGTATTTTCCTTTCAGATGTTAGATCTGCCAGTCTCCCTTTGGCTCTATCTACAATAAGCCATTGCCATGAATTATAATCTCTCTGCCAACCCAGGCATTCCAGTAACTTCTGTAGTATAGAAGTGAAATACTCTTCAGAGCTCAAGAAGTGCAATTAACATTATAACAACATTGAAGCCCTTTTCCCAGAGCCACAAACAGTATTTCTGATATTGTGAAACAACATTAGTTTTCATCTTTCAGTGTGGAGGAGCATCATATAAATCATAATGCCAAGTATAAATTGAATCCTGTTTCCAGTCCTAGTTGTCATGTTCAGACACAAAAACACAAAATTCATTACACTGTTGCTTTGAATAGAGCTGCCTCCATTTGCTATCATTTATCTTCAGATCATCAGTTACATTTTCATTGCAGGCAGTTTGCCTTCTCGCTTCAACAGCTCATCTATGGATACAAATCCTGTTGTGAAGCATGCTACAACCAGCCCCCAGCCCTTCTCACACTAGTCACAGATTGCAAAAACCCAGAAATCTTTTCTTAAGTTTGTGAGCTCTCCTTCTCTATATGCTTTTCTTTTCAGCTGCTCATTTATTGGGTGGGAAAATAATACACTAAAAAATAAATGTAGCAATCACTCGCCAGCACTCGTTCTATCTATAAAATATCTGGCTGACAATCAACCATTCAACTCGGAGGTTTCCTGGACTTGTTCATAAACTGCTTTAAGAACAGCGGTTCCCAAAGTGCCGTTTCCATTTATTCATCTAATCTATACAAACAGTTTGGACTGTGACTTCTATAGTTTCATGTACTATTATTGTAGTGTGAAATACATAAACATTTTCAAACGTGTTACCAGAGTGATTTGGACATTTTTTGCCATATCATTACTTCTGTGGATAATAACATTGATAGAGAGAGGCACCACGTCTTGTTATCATGTGGCCTTTTTGCCACACATAATTGATACAAGATCTTCAGTTACAAGAATAAGTTATTTATCAACTGACTGTGGCTTAGTCACTTTTACAGTTTAAAGGCTGTCACAACAAGAGACTTTCAGGGCTTTATCAATGGGTGTCTGGGCACAAAAGTAGGTTTTCCTTGCTTCAGTTGGGATAATTTTCTCTTGAAGAACTCAGTGGGTTTTTCTTAGAATGCTGTATTTTTTGTTTCTAGATGTTGCCAAAAATTGCAGGCTTTATATACTGTAGTCATTAGCAAACACCTCATAACATACCATGCACTTCAACTGGAATTTTCCTCCTTCTCCATCCATATAAATCTCAGAATAGTACAGGTTGGATCATACTTGTGGTTTTACACCGTTTAACACTAGTGCTTGTTTCATCCCTAACACAAACAGTGTTTGTCGATGATGTAATGTTACAGACATGTTCAGAGTCCTGATTCAATGGGTTAGCCTCTTTCTCATGAACATCATTTTGGATGTAGCCTTTTCTTCTTCTAATGGTTCATGCTTTAAGACACAAGTCTATTGGGCTTAAAGCACTGGATTCAATTTATACTTGTTTAATAACTGTAAGGTGAAACTTCAGTTTCCACAGATTGCTCTGAATAATAACTGATTTCAAATGGGAAGTAACATAGGTCTATCTTGGCTTACTAATTTTGTAATACTCTGCTTGCACACAAAGGAAGATGGGTGGTGGCTAGATTAAAAGTGCTTTGATAAAGACAAAAATATATCACGTCATCAATATACTGTACATCTATCCATTTTATAACTGCTCTTTCCAGTAAGGGGTCGGGATAGAGCTGGAGCCTATCCTGCCAACCAGTGGGCTGGGTACACCCTGGATGGGACGCCAGTCCATCACAAGGCACACACAAACACTCTCACCAGTGCCAATTTTCCAAGAAGCCGGTTTAACCTACCAGTATGTCTTTGGGCTATGGGTGAAAACTGAGCCCCTGGAGGAACCCACGTGAACACGAGGAGAATATACAAACTCAGAAAACGCCCCAGAAATTGAACCCAGGGCCCCAGTGCTGCAAGGTAGCAATGCTATCATGGTGCCATATGCTGTACATACAAAATAAAATATTTCTAATAAAAATGATAATATAACAGAATTTCTAAATGCCTACTTCTTGGGTGCCTGAAAAGCCTTATGAGAAGTTGCACCATAGTGACATTTCAGCTGAAATGTGGTTTGGCAGCCATATTAGGTTCACAAAATATTTGGAGATTTTCAAAAGTTTCATCCAAACCAATTAAGGTACTGGTCTGAGATTGGTGCAGAATGTTACTTTGTGTCCAGAATTTGCGCATGTTCAGAACAACTTCGTCGGTTACATGGTTTGGCCTCTGTTTTGGTTTTGTCAAAAAAACATTCAAACAACATCTTCTCTAAAACCGCTTGAACAACTGGAACAAAATTTGGTATATATCAACTAGGACAAGATCACAAAGAAGTTCAGTACAGGTTTTAAGAAAAAAAACAAGGCTGCTTTTAAGTAATCAAATTTCATGTGTTACCCCTAGTCATCACTGTTTAAACAACTTGCAGCCTATCTCAGAAGCTTAATGAGCACAACAGGTCAACATCCCAAACGGGATGCCAGCATATCACAGTGAAAATGTATAAATTACAGTTAACCTAGAGCATATGTTTTTGGACAGAGGAAGGAAACTAAAAAAGGGAACCCAGTGCAAAGCCACTAGAACACAGGAAGAACAGCAAATGCCGCATGGAAGGTACACCCGGAATCAAAACCAATAATCAAGAAATGTGTGGGAGCGAAGCTTATCGTCATGCTGCTCCAGTGGTAACTGTGGTTGTGGTAGTAAGCCTGTGTGGTAGCCCAAAGAGAAAATGCTAATCTTCCTTCTCTCTGCTGTAGAAAATGCTGGATGAGTGCCAAGACAGAAGAAGCTGTCACGTCCTTGTCAATAGCCGACTCTTTGGGATTGACCCTTGCCCCAGCAACAGCAAATACCTCATCGTGTGGTACAAATGCCGGCCAAGTAAGATCCTCTTTCTACCCGCCTGTTTACTTTGTCAGCATCTGAGCAATCCCTGCCCTAATCCTTTTAAGTTTAACTGTTTTGCTTGCTGCACCACGTCGCCCCCCTCTCCCCCCAAATCAGGTTGTTTTACTTCAAGGAAAGAATAACAAACCTGAAAATGTGTATGGCCTCCTCATGTGCTGCTTTTCTTCATGCTCCATACCCCCTGTGAGTAACAATCAAAGACAACAGAACCCTCCTCAGACCACTCATTCTTCTTTTGTGTTTAGTTCACATTCCTCTGCTCTCCCCTGTGCCTACCTGCTTCTGTCATATTTTCACATCTGTCCACACAAAGGTTCTTACTGTTATGTGACAAATGAAAGCATTCCATTCTTTCCTTCTTTCTTTTCTTTGTGTTTCTCACCGATGGAACGGGTGTGAATGAATGGCTTTCCTGATCCGATCTCGGATGAACCTCTTAACTGTAAAAGGTTCAGTTGTAGTGAAGTGACCTGTTCACTGAGGGCCTGGGTGTCCAGGCTGGGTAAAGGAAGAGTTACACTTCAGGAACTGTAAGCACACTCCAACCACATGAGAATATGTTATCTTGCTGGAAGTTATTCAGAAGGTAATGGTAATTAATAATTAGTCCATCATTTTGTGTAAACTCTTTGGGAAGTGTTGTAGCCACTGTATGTAAGAAACTGGCAAACAGGTTGATGTAAACTGCAGTCATATGTAAACTTCCATTTGTGCTCTTGTTAAAATAGAAGGAAGAGCTGATGTTTAACAATAGGTTACAAAATGCCATGAATACTGCAAACCGGTTTAGCATCCAGCATTTTCCCGAGCTTGTTTGTCCTCTAGTCTGATGAACCAAAGAAAATAAATAAGAGTTCAGTTTTCAACAGTTTTCTGCCTGTCAAAATGATCATTAATTTAGTAATCAAGATCATCCCAATTCAACATTTACTTTGTCTATTTAATGTGGAAGGTGTGGACTTTGCAATCTGTTCCAAATGCCAATTTTTATTTGATATCCAGTCACTTCTGAGCTCATTTTTACATGTGCTTCTAAAAAAGCCCCCCTTGCTGATGGTAAAATACAGTTGAATAAATATCTGGAATAACCCTTCAGATAATCCAGTCTTCACTGCAGTTATTCCAAGAGAATTTTGCTTTAGTTTTGCAGGCCTTTTAGATTTGAAATGATTGTGCTTCATGTTCTCTGTTTGCAGATGAGTACAAGAACAAAGTGGCATGCGAAGGTGACAAGATGAGACTGAGCTGTAAAAGGAGTATGGTGATTGCAATCTATTCTGCTTTCTTTGGGAGATCTCAGGAAGGAACTCTGGAGTGCCCCTATGTTAACTCTAGAGTGCCAGCAGTGGGTAAGACTGACGCCATGTTATGTCAGCATACTTCCGAGCTGGGAGATTTAAACTAAAATACAACAATTCTTTATTGTTCCTTAATAGATGTGGCCTCTTAGGGTAGTGCGCAGATCTTCCAGTAGACATAACCATCTTTGATGAGATTTCACGTGGCAGAGTTTGTCGGAGGGAATAACATACTGTACATTCCATTACCTGTGTTCACCTGTTCCTCCTGAAAAGCCAATTCAAAGGTTATCGACAAATGCCATTAGAATAAAACCATGCAAGTGTATCAGGTTTACAGGGATTCCAGAGCTGGATAGGAATATAAAAACTGAAAGAATGGAATACAAAGGTTGAATGTCATTAGTCACTGAAATCGAACAATACTGGGGAACATGCCCTACAGTGCATCTATTATATGGCATCTTTTACATGTTCACAGGTTGACTCCATCAGGTTTCATATTCCAAATTAACAGTGTTATGTTACTTCAGTATGTAACATGATTAACAATCACTTTTTATTTTAATCAGAGAGTGCCAAATCCCTCAAAATGGAGAATAACCTTACTTTTACATTTATTCATCGTTAGTTTGAAACACTTGGGAGCCCTGTGATGGACTGGCATCCTGTCCAGGTGTATTCCCTCTTTGTGCCCTTTGCTTTTGGGATGGCCTCCACGTTTCCATATCTCTTTCCAGTAACAAAAATAAATGTAATTCCTAATAATAAATCAATTAATCACAGCCTCTGAGCAAGTATTCTACATTCAAGCATTCTGTTTGCTTTTTTCCAATGTTTAAATGCTAAAATACTGGATTCACTTCAACTCTCTAGGTCTTTTTCCTCAGTGTACTTTCCATTTTGTCTATAAGAATATCCTGGTTTCAAAACACGAACAGGAAGATGTTGTTGAGGTAATTTTTAAATTGCTGTGCTCTGGCAGAGAAAACCTCTCTTTGTGCCAAGATGAAAGAGCTTTGACAGAACTGTGTTTGGGCTGTCTGTGAAAGGCTTTGTGAAGGATTTACCTAGATGTACCTCCAAGCAAAACCTGCACTATGAAGACAGAAGGGTCTAAAAGATGTGAGACACTGATACATTGATTCAGACACCTTTGGTGCAGGTGGAAAGATTCAGGATGTAATTTTATACAACACATTGTAATTATTTTACAGTAAATGAATCAATTAATTTCCAGGAACAGCTATTAACAAATGCACCTTTGTTATGAGTGACTGTGGGGGGGAAAAGCCTGTACAAACAGCACATCCTTTTTCGGGAACTGCAGTTTTGATTGAGGATATTTATTTACTGCCACTTAATATTTCTAATTTAAGAGAATGCAAGAGTGTAGGGGTCATAATGGAAGATTAAAGTTTGGGAATATGGTACAGACTATTTAGTAAATACTGCACATCATACTGTATCACTGTATTCATGATTTAATCAAAAATAGGAATTCAGATATTGTTTTTGGCATCATTTGGGGTAATTGATTGGTCAAGAGTGACTGTGAATCATCTCACTTCTGACAGAATGTTTTTGGCACAAGCAATGAGATGATTTAACCTTTTAAATGCCAAGCCTGGAAGGAAGAGTTAGAATGGAAACATCATGCCCCTCTTACGAATAGAGTGCTAACTTTGTGGTGTTTTTTGGAGGCTGGATTAAGTGCGCTGTCGCTTGCAGTCTGTTGGCTGCAGTCAGTCTGTGGTTGCACTGATTCACATCTATAACATACTTCACTATGATCTGTCACATATGTACTGTAGCTTTACTAGATGTTATTGGAATCTAATGGTTCCAAGTGGATCTTTGTGCGTTGCAGTGTTCTCACTCATTATCTGAATTTGTATTCAACGAACCAGTGAGGTCTGTGATATGGAACAGCAAGTCAACACGACTCACAACTTTGCAGCAACCAATAGGATTTATTTTCAAATAAGTTTATTACACACTTTAAATGTAAAACTTGTTTTCGCTTTTAGCAGTAATTTCTACAGCAACTCTTTCTAAATGAAAATAAACAGGTCTACTACGTAGAATCAACAAACCTTATCATATTTGTTTTAAATGAATTCAGTGTTTTATTTTGAATAATTAAATTACTTTAATAATTTTAATTTTAATAATAATTTAATTATACTAATACTAATACACTTTTAACAGAGTGTTGATCTGTCTTAACTAGAGTTGCTTCAATTTATGCAGGTAGAAACGAAAGAAAACATTTTTTCTACTGTATATACACAGTAAAGTGGCTTGCACAAGTATTCACCCTCTTTCAATTATGTCCCATTTTGTTTAATTACTAATGGATTACTAATGTATACAGATTTTAAAATGATTATTTTTCATCAAAATGTGAAAGTTAAAAAACCACTTTTATGGATAACAAGATTTTGTCAGCTAAAACGGTAGAGAAATTAAAAACTAAAATGTTGATTGTAAATGTCCTTACGCCTTTAGCTAAGCAAACCTAAAGTAATTCTAGTATAGAAATATTACAGTTACTTCAGTGGCCTCTGTGTGCACCAATAGTGTTTGACACATTTGGTTTAATGTTTAAGAATTTAAGAAGCTTACTCTGAAAGATTCCTTTTCACACTTCCAGCAGTGATCTCGACGCACTGTGGGTCTGACAAGGGTTTGGCAATGCTACATTATTTATTAACTATTAATAAGTCTCCCTTACTGAATATGGACCTCTGTAAATCTCTGCTCTATTAAGAGGGAAGCCAATCGGTGCCAATTAGGTATGTGTGTAATATTGAGAAGGAAAGACAGTTAGAACTCCCAATAATAACAACCAGTCAACTAATTTTAGCATACTTTCTTGTGTTATGTTCTCCATATTATTCCAAATGTATGATTTTAAAACAGAAATAATTACACCCTTTTTTAAATTAGCCTTGTGTTAAGCTTTACTGTTTTAAAGGGTGCCTGTTAAGGTGTCTAAAAGCTGTATAAGGAGGTTTAATTATAAGGTGGTACATTGCACATTGCAGGTTATCCTAGTTACTGTATGTGTTTGTGAAGTCATAGTTTGGTCCTCCAGTGTTTTAACCCTTGCAGTGTCCCTCTCAGACTGTCTTTTATGAATGAAAGTAGAAGAGTGCTTGAAAAGTTGAAGTAACATTTTTCCAGGGACACTTTGAAGTTTAGTCACCTTCAAAGGTATTGGCATCCTTGACTGTATAAAAAAACAACACAGGTGATGAACTACTGTGTTTTGTAATTTTCCAACATGTGAAACATATTTTACCTTTTTAATCATTCATTGAAATAAAAACCAAAATTACACATTTCTCAAATTATACATTTATTGAAAAAAGTCACAGAAAAGTGCATCAATTATTGGTGCCCCTGTTTTCAATACTTTGTGTATCTTCCCTTTACAATGGTAATAACAGTGAGGCTTTTTCTATAATGTATTATGTCAACAGAGAACACACACACAGAATCTGGGTTCAAATTCAAGTTTGGGTTACCTGTATGAGTGGAGTCTGCTTGTGTAGCGGAGCTAGTTCGGATACAGTGATGTTATCCCCTTGACCTCGGCTGCCTGGGCTGAGGGAGGTCTCCTTTAGCTCCTGCGGCTGGTTCCCTGTTGCATTACGCCGGAGACCCGGGTTCGCGCCCCATGCGGGATGAAAACGGTGGCGGAGGGCACGAGCCCGCGCGGAACCGCGACGGTCACACTTGCAGGAGTTTGTCTAGTGGCTCTGGTCTTTGTCCACCTCTCAAAGGCCTGTATATAGGCTTGATTGTCTGCTCAGAAGTATCTTTTTCTACAGGGGTTTCAATGGGATATCGAACTTGGACTTGATCATAGCACTACCAGTGCAGGCTTTGAGACTACAGAGAAACAGAAGCAATGAATGTGATGAGACAAACGACCACCTTTAATTTGTGGCCCTTTTAATAGTCAAAGACTTTTTTTGAAGTTGCAATCTTTCAAGTTAATTG